ACTTTAAGCCATTCTAGCTTCAGTCACTGTTCTGGTTCCTTGCTTCTGTCGCAAACCACCACTGAAGATAAATAACAAAGATTAATGCAGTACTACCTGGAAGAAGCAATTAAAAACAGGCTGAAAAGCAGCAACCAAACCCCAAACCATTTGCTCTTCCACAATAGGAACCTGAAGATAATCTTGTTTGCTAAACATAAATCACTTGAGATCTGGCCAAATTCTTGAACGATATTCCACACGGAAACGCTGCAATGTCAGGAGCTGCTTACATAAGTATTTACTTCCAACTTTGAAAACAAACTGGACCAGTTTTTCTTGTTCCTTCTAGGAAAGTGATCATTTTAAACCAATGAAACAGTTAACAGGAGGGCTTCCCTAGACCCACTCTTGCTGGACTTTTGGTCCCACCCCTACTCACTTTGAGACGTATTAGGTTTCTTGTAACTAAATGTGCTTCCTTCTCCTTCAGTATCTATGTAAAAGTCTTTAGGCGGCAGAAAGTAAACTCCATCAATCAATCTTACCTTCTTATAAATTTTTGTAGTATATCCACTTTTTTTTAAGGAACAAAATTCAAGATATATTCCTGTAATTCCTTTTGTGCATGTGTGTGTATATATATACTTTTTTTAAAAACTTCTCTTTAAGGCTCTGTGAGGTTTATGCAAGCAGGCCTTTCACAGAGGCCACTGTGTTTCCTAGGGTTTATGTTCACATGCAGCCGGTTATACGAACAGATTGGCTTTACTTTTCATTTCCTTGTGTTAAAGTCACTTAGACAGAGAAGGTTTGAGAACTACAAGGTACAACAAGTCACTTGTTTGCTTAAAGGTGCTATGTTAACAGTGAATATTTTGGTGGTGCTGGTTGGTTCAACAACCAAAGGTTTGTGAGGATACTTTCTCTATGACCCCTTTTCTGCTAAATATCACGGGAAATGCCAGTGATCCTGATAGAGATCCACTATGCCCAAGAAAAGCGACTCTGTGGTGTGTAAGTAGAAGCCGACCAAGATAAGCCAAACAAAAGACAGTCCCTTGCGCCCAGACTAAAACCTCATTCAGTTTTAAAGTGTACTGCAACAAGAATCCCTGGATTAAATCTCAACGCCATACATTTTAGTTATTTATTCTACAGCTCTAGATATTCCCACATACACAGTTAAGGAGAGCCAGGGTACAAAATATTCCAGTAGACCTTACTCAAATCTGCCAAAACCTACATTACAAGCTCCTACTAAACTTCCATTTAGTCTGATTTTCCCCTCCTATATGCTGCACAGACACCCCCACCCACAAATCCACACACATCTTCTGCACCTCACGGGAACTATTACTTTCTTTACCCTCCACCAAAGACATCACTTCCCAAAGTACCTGGTGAAGACTTTCCTAGAGCCTGTTCACACCACAGCTGACCTGGCTAGGCTGTTTCCTCCTCCTTATAGGACCAAGAACACTGCCCCTTTTTCCAGGCCTGGCTTCTTCCCCCAAGGCCACAAAACTGGCTGGTGCCAACACTCTGAGTAGCTTAACCACTGACTATTTTCTTCCAAGTCCAATTCAAAGTTCTCTGGCCTAAAGTCAAAACACATCACAGAGCTCAATATTCTGAGTTAGACAAAACTGGCTTTGACTCTGCTACTTATGATCTCTGTGACATGGACAAAGAACCTCTCTAAACCTCAGTTTCATCTCTAAGGTGGGGATAATAATAACATTTACCTTTACTGTGAAAACAGAATGAGATAGCACATGTGTCTGGCACATAGTAAGTGCTCAATAAATGTTAGCAATTTTTACAATCATTATCATCACATGACTACTCTACTACCATTATTACTACAGGAACCATAAACTGGTAGGCTTCAAGCCAAATTTGGATTTCCTGTTGGCCATCAAAATGTATTTCTGTTTCTGTTTTATTTGAATTACCGTTGGAGAGATAAGTATTCTCCAGTCTGTCATAGTTCTTACCATTCCTCCCTAGAAAATTACATTCATATTATACTACCTGCATGGCCTCTGAGTTTATGATCCCCACCCCTCCAAAAAAGGTCTCAGAGATACCTAAAAAAGGGGTGGGAGGGGAGTTAAATCAAAGACATTATAAAACTAGGGCAGCCAGACACTATACTAAAAAACATCTTTTTAAAAATCACAGCAAGAAGCCACTAATTTCCAAAAAGGTTAAGATTTCTCAATCAGTCAAAAGACATACATGCGACGGGTGGAGAGAAAAGGAATAAACTCTACTTTGCAGTTTCATGGTGAGTAATAACTTCTGGAACATGGAGAATTTGTAAGGTTCTTCTAAAACACAAAACCCCTCTGCTCCCTTTCCTGGTAGGGTACAAAATGGATAGACCAAATAGAATAATTTCAGATTCAGAAAGCACACTTCCAGGGCCAGGGCTCTTCCCTACATGCAGAAGGCCACTGCTCAGGCAGTTTCCTGTTCCAAATGCACCTGTCGGTGGTCAAGGGCTTAAGTTCACCTAATAGCTTCACACATATCAGAAACATTAAGTTGTCTGACATTTCACATTTTTCTATTCTTACTTAGCCCACACAGGGTTTCCATTAATGACAAAAGAACATAACTAATAATTCAGAAACACATACCTTCTTAACATACATCATCTATGGGGGGGAAAAAAAAACTGTTAAAAGTACCAAAAAAAGCCCCACTGTAAGACCATAAAGACATTTACCTATTACAGAGATTTATTAATATGAGAAAATTAAACAACTATAACTCTCTAATTTATTAGAAAAATCTCCTTCTGTCATTCCCAGAAATCTATCCATTGAAAAGATCCTCTTTAAAATAATGTCATTAGCTTTCAAATACTCTAAAATAATCACAATAAAACTGTAAAATAAAAACAAATAGGTTTTTTTCAAGGAATACAAAAATTTTTCAAAATAACTGCAAAGTAAAAGGTAGATAGGGTCAAAATTATTGTCACAATAATGAATACAACAATCTTATATGACTCTAACTCATTATTTTTATGGAATCTGTTTACCCTCTGCTCTGGGAACCCAAAGTAAAATCATTTACATTGGAAAAAAAGTAAGGGCATAACAATAGTTATTTCTAGGTGGCCAGATTATAGATGATTTATTTTTCTTTTGTGTGTTATGTGTATGTTTTCTGAGTCTTCTGCTCTATAAAAATTAGTACTTTCATTATGAGATTTTAAATGTTTATATATTTTAACAATACTGTATGTAACCATGATTGGTGGATCAGGGTACATTTCCAAATTACCCTTAAGGAGTCCCATAAGGAGTCAGAAGCAAAGGTGCAGAAAGTAACTCTCTACCTGTTTTCCTCATTTGCTTTCCCTTCATTTCATCTTCTGAGAGGTTTAATGCCCAACTCTCTTCACTTGAGTTCCATAGCACTCCAGCTCTGTACCACACAAGGAAATCCTTAGTCCTTTCCACCACCAGCTGGCCCTGTCTACCTTTTACTTTGCATTTATTTTGAAAAATGTTTGTAAAACTTGAAAAAAAGCCCATTTGTTTTTATTTTAGAGTATTGAAAGCTGATGATGTTATTTTAAAGAGAATATTTTTCAATGGATAGACTTTTGGGAATGACAGAAGGGGATGGAGATTTTCTAACAAATTAGAGAGTTATGGTTGTTTAATTTTATCATATCAATAAATCTCTGTAATAGGTAAATATCTTTACAGTCCTACAGTAGGTTTTTTTGGTGCCTTAACGGCTTTTTTTTCCATAGATGATGTATGTTAAGAAGGTATGTGTTTCTGAATTATCAGTTACGTCCTTTTATCATTAACGGAAAACCTGTGTGTGCCAAGTTAGAACAGGAAAATATTAAATTTTTCTATTCTGTTCTCTAGTGCTCAGTGCTTCTATCTTATACTCCAGCCTGCTTTCAACAGGAACTGTGTTTTATATGTTTTATATACTTCCACAGAGCTTAATGCAGCTCTCAACAAACAGCAGACTCCTGATATCTATTTGTTAAACATAAAAGAAACAACTCATCAATTAATTAACAGTAAAGTAAACCCAGCTCTCTGCCTCTTTGCCTTTAGAAGCAGAGCTGTATTCTTTGTAACAACAAAGACTGAAATGCGGCCCCACTGACCAAGATCAGGACCACTGATGGAAGGCTTTCAGAAAATACCTGCAGCACTGAAGGAAGAAGTGGCATCTCCCTGAACCAGCTCTGAACTTCTAAAATACAAGGAAAAGACCTCAGAGGCTGGGGTGGTGCACCTCAAGAAAGTGATGAAATTGACTCCTAGTCTTTCCATGGTTCCTTTGGAAAGGCATGCAGTGCTACTCTAGACTCCTAATCCAGCTTCACTATTACAAAGAGAATTAAATCAGCAAACAGTAGGAGGCAGGAGTAGCTGATCCCTGCTGGGGGATGACCTGCCCTCCTTTAATGACAGCAGTGGTTATCTCAGTTTACAAAGCCTATAAAGGATTGGCAAGGTTTTTAGAGTTCTTACACAAGGTGCCATTATTACAGTGACACTGAAGACTGGGAAACATCCTTATATTCTTTGGCTTCGATAGCTTTAATTATATTTTCTGTGAATTCTCAATCCAGTAAGTGTACAAATTGCATGAAGAAAAATACAAGTTGTGTGTGTAAAATTAATTTTACTAAGCCTCGTGATGCTACTGTTGGTCCTTAACATTGTGAACTTGTAATTGTTAAATGGAGCAGTTTCAGAGTCAAATTATCATCTGTACAAATCAGAGTTCAGAATGGCAAAATATGGGGAAGGGTTCCTGGGATTTACCTTCCCAATAAGATCTGTTAGCTCTGTCCCAAACCATAGTGAAGAATGATTTTTTGTTTTGCCAGTGTAAGCCACCAAGAATTGCAACTGGGGTATGGGGAAATCCACATAAGGGGCCAAGGAAAATTAACAATAAGCCACATAATCTCCATTTTCACACACAAGCTAAAAGTTAAGGAATGTATTTATAAATATCCCTACCTCAACTTCTTTGACTCTAACCTTCCAGGCAGTTATAACGAAACATTCATAGTCAAACATTCAGTTCTCATGATTTCAAAAAATGTCCTTCAACGCCCAAGTGTATCACCTGGAAAAAAAAAAAAAAATGTCCTTCAGAGAAACACCTGTGCATCTCCCAGACTTTTTGTGTTTTACTATAATCCCTGCTTTGGATTTCTAAGGCCTAACTTGTCTCAACCTTGCTCTGAGGAATTTTCATTCATTGGACTGGAATTTTTAGGGACATGCGTGTTTTAAATAAACACAGCTCTAAACACTTAGGAATATAAAATTTTTACATTGAGGGAAAAAGGTAACAAACTTACTAGCCTCTTTAGTTCTGCAAAAGAGCTATTTCAGAGTTTCTGTAGTGGAAAATGCCTGCATTTTGGCATAGCTTGTTCTGTGTCATACAAGCAGACCCAAAGTTACCTGTAGGAATAGTTGGCCCAAACAGGGAGGAAAAGAAATGGCTGCCTTTCACACCAATAACTCCAGTGGCTCCTGATGTGCCTCCAATGGGATATGCCTAAATCAATAGGCAGAAGAATGCCATATCACAACCCTTTAAGAATCAACTCTCTGTCTTAACCCAGTGATAATTAAAAACCCGTATTTTAACACCACTTTTCCATAATAAAATCAAAAGGACACTGTATTATACCTGAAAGCTGTGACGCCCAGCAATATCACTTCCAGGAAATGTATATTATGCATGTTCCCATGGGAAAAAATTATGTACAAAAATATTTATTCATCACAGCATTACCTGTAATAATGAATATTTGGTTTTTAAAAAGTGTCCCATAAGGAAGTGGCTAAATATATTATTATATATTCATAGGATGAAATACTATGAAAAATTATAAATCCTGGTTTTTGGTGGTGTTTTGTGTTTATTTATTTATTTTGAGATGGAGTTTCCCTCTTGTTGCCCTGGCTGGAGTATAATGGTGCTATCTTGGCTCACCGCAACCTCCAAATCCCAGTTAAAGCAATTCTCCTGCCAAGTAGCTGGGATTACAGGCATGCATGACCACACCTGGCAAATTTTTGTATTTTCAGTAGAGACGGGGTTTCTCCACGTTGGTCAGGCTGGTCTTGAACTCTCAACCTCAGGTGATCTGAAATCATGTTTTTAAAATAAGAATAATATCAACTCAGCAATTATAACATCTCAGGCCTATTCTGAATATTTTACATGCATTAGTAAGTTTGTTGTATGTGTTACATGAATTTAATGCATACAATAAACTTGTATAGTGAGTATATCATTATCTCCATTATTATCCCTATTGTAGATGACAAAATAAGGCACTGAGATTGCACAGCTAAATGGCAAACCTTGTAGAATATTTAATGGTATGGAAAAATGCTTATATCATAATAGCAAATGAAAAATTAAAACTATGGGCCAGGTGCAGTGGCTCACGCTTATAATCCCAGCATTTTGGGAAGCCAAGGTGGGTGGATCACTTGAGGTCAGGAGATCAAGATCAGTCAACATGGTGAAACACTCTCTACCAAAAATATAAAAATTAGCCAGGCATAGCGGGAGGAGCTTGTAATCCAGCTACTTGGGAGGCTGAGGCAAAAGAATCGCTTGAACCCAGGAGGTGAAGGCTGCAGTGAGCCGAGATCGTGCCACTGTACTCCAGCCTGGGTGACAGAGCAAGACTCCATCTCAAAAAAAAAAAAAAAAAAAAAAAAAAACTATGTCCAGTATAGGCCTAATTTTATAAAATATCAATGTATGTTTGTATATACATATATGTTTCAATGTCTGCAGACATAGGAAAAGGTAATACTAGAAATAAATATGACAAAATTTAATGGTGGCTATCTCTAGATGATGGCATTACAGGTTTTTTAATATATGCTTTCTATATATCCAAGATGTTCTAGAATATAAATATATCATATTTTTTTGAGACAGAGTCTCGTTCTGTTTCCCATGCTGGAGTACAGTGGTGCTAATCTCTGCTCACTGCAACCTCTGCCTCCTGGGGTCAAGCAATTCTCGTGCCTCATCCTCCAAGTAGCTGGGACTACAGGCATGAGCCACCACACCCAGCTAGTTTATATATATATATATGTATATGTATATGTATATCATATATCTTTATATATTTATTTGTAAATATATACATATATAAATATATTTACATATAATAGATAATATAATATAAATATATACATTTATTTATTTATTTATTTTAGTACAGACAGGGTTTCACCATCTTGGCCAGGCTGCTCTCATACTTTCGGCCTCAAGTGATCCAGCCAGCTCAGCCTCCCAAAGTGCTGGGATTACAGGTGTGAACCACTGCATTAGCCTGATGTATCACTTTTACAACCAGAAAAATTTACATGTAAAAAACTAAATGCTTAATTAAACCTTGGAGGTAAAATGTTCATATCTCCTTTCACTAAGGTGTCCATGTTTTCCAAGCACACACATTTTTATCTGCCAGAATACAGAGCATTAAAAACCAAAGCATTTTCCAAATGAGCACTGACAGAGGTAACATCTTCAAGTTTTACATTTAATAAAATCTCCTTTGTGAACCATGTTAATGAGTCTAATCTACTGATTTTCAGAAAGCTTACTAATAACAGAATCCTCGTTGAGGTTTAACTTGAAAAATACATCCAATTCAGCCAGGCGTGGTGGCTCAGGCCTGTAATTCTAGCACTTTGGGAGGCCAAGACAAGAGGATTGCTTGAGCTCCAGAGTTCAAGACCAGCCTAGGCAGCATAAGGAGACCATGTCTCTACAAAAAATTTTCAAAAATTAGCTGAGCATGGTGATGCATGTGTGGTCCCAGCAACTTGGGAGGCTGAGGTGGGAAGATCTCTTGGTAGCCAACACGATGAAACACCATCTCTACTAAAAATACAAAAATTAGCCAAGCATGGTGGCACACACTTGTAATCCCAACTACTTGGGAGGCTGAGGTGGGAGGATCACTTGAACCCAGGAGGCGGAGGTTGCAGTGAGCTGAGATCGCACCACTGCACTCCAGCCTGGGGGACACAGCGAAACTCTGTCTCAAAAAAAAAAAAAAAAAGATGAGAAAAAGAAAGAAGAAATTAACAAAGATCAAAACACCACTGAAACATTTGTCATTCATATGTATAAATATTAAAAGTTGTTGAAGATGTGTGTAAAGAGAAAAATCTTATAGAAATTTGATGCAACAATTTTGGAGGGCAAATTGACCTATCAGAGTATTGGCCTATCAGTGGTATTACTCAGCAATATCACTGATAGTAATTTACCCTATATATATAGTCATGTAAGCACACCAAGATATATGGACAAGAATGTTCACTGCAGCATGGTTTACATAAGTCAAATAAACAAATAATCCAAATTTACATTAGAAGAGGGCAGATTAAATAAATAATGGTATATCCATACAATAGAACACAATTCACCCCTTAAAAAGTATATGGTCTATACTTTTTAGTCTACAGTGTGTATGTGCTAAGAAAAAATATCCAAAAGATATTATTAAATGGAAACAGCATTACATTATGATCTTATTTGAGTAAGATGAAACAGTACAAATAAGAATGTATAAAAAACTATTAGGCTGAGGCTAGACATTTTATTTTTACTTTTTATTTTATACATTTCTTTACGTTTGACCTTTTTGCAATGTATAAGCATTCTTTTATTAAAATAAGGTTTTTCAAATGATACTTCTTGGATTCCACATCACCAATCAACAAATGTACATTTTAAACTTTTATGAAGTGTGTGCTCATGATAATCCCTATCAACACCATCAAAGTACATCTTATTTGTAAAATTTTAAATTTGAGGGAATTTTTGAGTAAAGATGTCAAAGTACTCAATATTTAGAGCTGATAAAACTTAAGATTTCTAAACTCAGAGAAAAAAGGAACATGCAAATGTATTATTTAAAAAATCATCACAGAAAAACTCAAGTTTAAAAAAATATATATTGTAAACCTTCACAGACTGTCATTCCATCAAAAGCAAAATACGAGTTTGTGGAATTATTTAACACCATCCCAACACGCCGCAGGACACATGCTACCTCTAGAGTTAAGAATGATTAGAAGCATAAACTTTGTATAGACAGACAAGTACTAAGATACCACCTCCTTGGGGAAAGGATGGGAGAGGGGAGGATGGGGAAAAGTTGGTAGAGGTGAAAAAAGTTACAGTTAGACAGGAGGAATAAGGTCCATGTTCTATTGCACAGTGGGGTGACTATGGTTAACAGTAAGGTATTTCATATTACAAAATAGTTAGGAGAGAGGTTTTTGAATGTTCTCACCACAAAGAAATGATAAATGCATGAGGTGATGAATATGCTAACTACCCTAATTTGAACATTATACAATATATACATGTATTGAAATATCAAGTTGTACCCCATATATATGTATAATTATAATGTGTCAATTAAAAAATTTTTAATTTTAAGATGCCACCTCCAACACTCACTAACTTGCTTAATTCTGAGCAAGCTACTTCACTTCTCCATACCTCAGTTCCTTCATATGTAAGTGAGGTTACAAATACTGCCTGCCTCAAAGGATTGTAGTGAAAATAAAATTAACATATAAAATATGCTCAATATTGTACCAGGCACAAAATAAGCACATCGTGTATTCATTCATTCAGTTAGTTACGTAATCATTATTTTTGAGCTTGCTATGTATCAGGCATCATACTAGAATGCTATGGCAATACTAAAAAAACTACTATCATCCCTGCTCAAGTGTACAGTCTAGTTGAAAAGGTAGACACTAAAAACATACAAAATGCATCATTAGAAACTGCAGTAAATGTTATGAAAGAATATAACGGGGTACCATGAGACAGACTAATCAGAAAGACCTAACTAAAAAACTGAGAAACTGGAACTCCTGTGCACTGTTGAAAGGAAAGTAAAATAGTACAGCTGGTAAGGAAAACAGTATGGCAGTCCCTCAAAAAATTAAAGATAGAACTTCCATATGATCCAGCAATTCTGAACTCCTAGGTATTAAATATATATACCCAAAAGAAGTGAAAGTGGAGACTCAAAAAGATATTTGTGCACCCAT